ATAGCATGTATCCAATCGAACCGTGTTCAATCGTGTGCAAAGTAACGACAAAAGTAACTGTAAATTTCGTTACCGTTACCCAAAAAATGTAACTCGTTACCGTTACAGTTACCAAAAAAAGAAAGTAACGCAGTTACCAGTAAAGTTACCAAAAAAGTAACTTGTAACTGTAACTTCGTTACAAGTAACGAGTTACTTCCATTCCCTGCTTATAACCATGATTTTATAACTGTTTTAATTTTGATTACCGTGGCCAATATTCATAGTTAATTTGTATATTTAAGGGTGTAGCTCCACAACTCACAGTTATAATTTTTAACCGAGATTCAATTTATTCTGATTTATTCCTCATCTCTTTCCAGTTCAATAATATTAAAAATATTAGCATGATTAGAAAAATGAGAAAAATTCTTTAAAAATACCCTCCAAGAATAATATTCCCAAATGCGCAAAAATGTGACAAAAACAACGATGCGATGTATGGTATATTATAGGGGAGAGCGGTCTATCGGACCTATTTACAGTTTTTGTTCTCTATAAGGCGTAAATAAAGTCCGATCATAAATGGTACAGTTCGAAAGATCATTTAATTTCCTTCATTTTTGCTTTAGATCACTTTGACGTATCTCTTACCTGTGTCGAACTATAACGGAAAATGTAAAAATGCATTTTTCGGTCCGATTTGGAACTCATGGATCCAAATCGGACCTCTCCTATTTTTATAAACTTTTAGATAGAATTTTGAAATATTTTAATTAATTTTTGTTAGCATTGAGTAAAAACGAGCAATTTAAAACTCAAAAATAAAAATGCAATTTATATTATTAGAATTAAAATCAATAAAAAATTCCATCAATCTGAGTCTGATAACACATGATATTTTATTGATTTAGTGTTCCTTATCTAGACTAGATTTAGACGGTGAATTTTCTTTCTTCGATGAATTAGCTGGTTTACTCGTCTTTTTCGTGTTTTTGTATAGATCCGATTTGGACACCCAAAGAGAAGTCCGATTTGGACACGGATTCTTTCAAACTTGGAACAAATTTTGCAATAAACCGCAAAAGTAATCACAAAACTTTTGATATTTTTTAATTCTACACTCTTTAATTATCTTAAATCAATTACCGTTCAAATTTTTAACATCTTTTAAATAATGATTTACAAGGATTTTCTTTTTTTAACATAAAATAATAGACTAAAAAGACAAATTAAGAGTCATAACATTAAAATTTTAATCACGTAGTCAAAAAATAAAAGAGAAACAATAAATTCGGAGATATAAATAATATATAACAGAGATAGACATTTTCAATAAAATTTAACCGCAAATCTTCGAATCTTCAAGACTTTACATGTTTCGACTCTTGGATTGAGTCTTCTTCAGAAGTATAAAAAAACGTAGAGATGATATCCGAATCATTGGTGTAAAACAAATAAAGATAAATCCATTATTAGGGCAAGAAATCTGTCTAACAACGATTGGCAGATCGGTAGTAGATCTATGGAAGAATAAAATAAGCTTCCTTTTTTTAAAACAATTTTTGCGTATGATAGCCGAAAATACATATTTGCTGAATCTTCAAGACTTTACATGTTTCGACTCTTGGATTGAGTCTTCTTCAGAAGTATAAAAAAACGTAGAGATGATATCCGAATCATTGGTGTAAAACAAATAAAGATGAATCCATTATTAGGGCAAGAAATCTGTCTAACAACGATTGGCAGATCGGTAGATCTATGGAAGAATAAAATAAGCTTTTTTTTTTTAAAACAATTTTTGCGTATGATAGCCGAAAATACATATTTGTCTATTCTATGAATGTTACGATAGAGTACTACCAAACTGCCGTCACATGTTCGGTGTCTTTAAGAACTTTACATTATAAATAGCACGAAAATCTGTTTAACCGTATTTATTATATTAAAAAGGTCCGATTTGGAACATAGTTCGATTTAGGACATTCTCCCCTATACATAATTGTGTATGTATCTCAAACAGGACAGAACATTCATTGGAGAGACATCCAGACTTGGTTTCAATCTGGTCCATGCACTTAGTACGAATATTTTAAAAACGTACGTTATTCAACGTACAAAGTATGTTTGCATTTGAACATTTAAAAAATGTTTATCTCATGCAAACAATTTTCTAAGTCTGCTCGCGACGTGTTGCTTTCGCTGATTTGCCAAGTGAAAATTTGTTTAAGATCACACGAGTTTTATTTTTGTTACTTCCGGTAACGCGAAAATTTATCAAATTAAAGCTTAGTTCAGACAGCACGCAACAATAAGCGGCAAGCGTCAAGTATAACAATAGCTTGCTGCTCGTAGTGATAAAATAGGAATCTTTTGCTTCTAGCGTGCAAATTTGTCTGGATTATATTAATTTATTTCAGTTTTATAGTCCATTGCATCCTAAAATGGGCGCTTTTAAGAAGTCCAAAATGATAACACTGGATGTTTAATATGCCAAACGTTCGACGTTTTAAATACATTTTTTTAAACATTACTGTGCTGTCTGGGATATAATTGTGCCGATGACATAATTGACGAAAATGCGTTATCGGAGCGACATGCCGGACTTCCTTATTGCATATTCACGACATATCCGATTGTTAATAAAATTCTTTGTCCATCTCTATATGCACTGTTAGCGACGAGAAGGCGAGGGTCCATTTCCCTCTCAGCTCGTCGGCGATCGAGCGACACGCGTTTCTCGAGGCACGTTAAAATCGCGGCTTCTGTGTGCGTAATGCGGTGAATGCGCGCCTACGGTCGTCGGTTTGTTCGACTCTCTTGACTCGATTTCGCGACCGCAATTCTCCCTGGGAAGATATATCTCTCCCTGTGTGCCCCGGCGGATGCCTCTCTTTCTAGCTCCTTGTCTCTCGCTCTCCTCGCCCTCCTCGTCCTTTTCCTGAGCCGGTGCCCTTCTCAGACTCTCCGTCTTTCTCCGACGCGGCTGGGTCCATCGATGGGACCAGGGGGGATGGCCGGAGCGGACCCCGTCGCGGAGACAACATAAAGATTTAAGACTGAGAGATGCGCCAATAAACATGCTGCGCCCCTGCCGCAGTCAGCTCGCGCTTCTTTGCTGTGTGTTCCGTTTCTCCTTCGATTCCGCTCCATTCTGTTCTGTTCTGTTCTGTTCCGTTCGCAACCATTGCATATA